AAATGCAAATCATTGTGGCCAAGAAGTCAAACTGGTAGATTTCATTAACACCTCAATTCTTCATCCTTTCCTGCACACAAACCTTTGGCCATGTGACTTTTCAGTCCAGTAGGCCAGGCTAGTGGCTCACACCTGTAATCCCAATATTATGGGAGGCCAAAGCAGGAAGATTGCTTAAGCCTAGGAATCTGAGGCTAGCCTGAGCAACACAGTAAAACCTCTCTACCAAAATTCTTAATTAAGCCAGTCATGGCGGTGCTTGCCTCGAGTCAGTTATTCAGCAGGCTGACGTGGGAGGACAACTTGAGCCCAGGAGTTTGAGGCTGCAGTAAGCTACAATAGCACCACTGCATTCCAGTCTGAGCGACAGAGCCAGGCTCTATCTCTAAATAAATAAAAGCATTTGTCCAGCCCTTGTCTTGGGGCTTGACCATGTGGTTTGCTTTGGCCAATGGGATGTTGATAGGTAAGTCACAGGCAAGGGCTTGCCCTGCGCAGTGGTGACTCTGCCTTCACCATTAGAAGAACATGCCCGGGCTAACCCACTGGACCCAAGAGAGGGATGAGAGACATCTGGAGTAGAGCTGTCCCAGCTGCCTAAGCAGAGTGAGAAGCAGGCCAGCCTACATCAGCTGAGCCCCAGCTGACTCACAGGCTAATGAAGGCTAATTGCTCATTGCTGTCTCAAGCCACAGTGTTGTGAAGTAGTTATTATGCAACAATGGCAAACCAATATACTTGGAAAAATAAGGCATTTGCACAAAAGCCTTATGTAGCATTATAAGTTAAACTGTGCCCCTCGAAATTGATATGATGAAGCCCTAACCCCCTGAAAAAGATTCTCTGTTGACCAAAACTTAGCCAAGCTTTTAAACTTACCTACTAAGTTCACCAGTGCCACTCCCCTGTAAAGCCCAGTTTTAGCAAAGAATCCTGCTAAATCTGTGTGTTAGTCCATCCTCACACCACTATTAAGAACTCCCTGAAACTGGGTAATTTATAAAGAAAAGAGGTTTAGTTAACTCACAGTTCCACATGGCTGGGGAGGTCTCAGGAAACTTACATTCATGGCAGAAGACAAAGGGGAAACAAGGCACCTCCTTCACAAGGCAGCAGGAAGAAGAAGTGCCAAGCAAAGTGGGAAGAGCCCTTATCAAACCATCAGATCTCGGGAGAACTCACTCACTATCACGAGAACAGCATGAGGGAAACCCTCCCCCATGATTCAATTACCTCCACCTGGTCTCTCCCTTGACCTACAGAGATTATCGGGATTACAATTCAAGATGAGATCTGGGTGGGGACAGAAAGCCTAACCACATCAGTCAGTTTAGCAAGAACCCCCCATCCTCAACATCAGATCATTCGTGACATCTGATCAGGTTCCTCATCCCCCAGGTGATATGTGATGATCCTGGCCTGCCTTCAGCTAGAATCTTGTTAAGTGGGTTTAGCCACAATCCCACTTACCTCTGATGTTTTCTTTTAGTAATTTCCCATCCACCAACACCCACCCTGCTCCTTGACTATAAAGTTCCACTTGCCCATGCTGTGTTCAAAGTTGATCCCAATCTCTCTCCTTCATTGCAAGATCCATTGCAGTGGTCTCTATAGCCATCTCAATGGCCCTGAATAAAGTCTTCCTTATCATGCTTTAACAAATATTATTGAATAATTTCTTCTTTAACACCCCAACGTGACTATGTTTGGAGAAAGGGCCTTTAAGGAGGTAACTGAAGTTAAATGAGATTGATTTTAAGATGGAATCCTAATTCAATAGGACTGTGTCCTTATAAGTAGAGGAAGAAATTGCCCTCTCAACAAGAACACGTATGGAAGGGCCATAAGGACACTGCAGAAGGCAGCCAACCTAGAGACGAGGACAGCAGTCATAGCAGAAGCATTTGTTGAGTGCATATCATTGGTCAGGCACCATGCTAAGGATTTTACACTTATCAGTCTCTCTTGTCTTAGTGAAAGTCCTCCCTCTCCTTGATATCAACATCTCCCTTCCTGTTCTTGGGGGCAGAATGTGTCACCTTCGTTTCCAAATAGGTGTTTCTCGGTTGTGAACCAAGGGGCCTAATGTGAACAAGATATAGGTGTGGGGGGCAGATTGGGAAACGTGCTGTGTGCTTTGTCCCCTCCTGACCCCAGAGTATCATACTAATGTTAATAGCAGCCTGGAATAGACGGGGATAGAAAATGAAATGCTAGAAAGAAAATGAATATTAGTATTTTGTGAAGATGCTGATGGGAGTATGGATGAGATCAATGATATTGGAAGCCTAACACAGGGTCTCTCACACCGCATATATCCAGTAGACATTTATATCCAATAAACATTGGTTACATGCATGCATGAATAACTTAATTTTTTTTTAATTTTCCAACATAAGCTGATATTCTCCCTACTTGCTACAGAGTCAGAGCCACTAGCACAAAAATTTTAGTACTGTAGCCCAGAGGTAGTATTTACTCAAGGAATTTTAATTTTTAAAGCTATTTAAATAGCATATTTTAATATTAAAAATAGCCATATAACTATTTCCATTATATATTTCTGACTTTATAAATTGAAATTGGTAAATACTGGTTTTAGCTACCTATGTTTGGTATTAACAGCATCTGCTATGTACTAAGGTTCAATCAGGCCAATTATTTTTTTTTCCCCAGAGAACTCCCATGGACTAATTCATAGATCCTGAGTAGAACAATTACAGGGTTGTCCTCTTGACTCTTGACTAAACTGGGGCTTAGAGAAGACTACCAGCAGGTGATCACCATGTTTCATTGATAGTTCAAGGAAACTTCATGTCCAACAGGAAGCCTTGAGGCACTGCCACCTATACAAGCTTTTTCCATGGGCTCAGGGCCTGGGATGATTTTCAGGTGAGCTCCTGGAAGGTCCTAGCTCACCACTAGCCAAATCTATCCTAAGCGGACAGACCTTTCTCTATTTAACTCAGAGAAATAACCACACTCAGAAATGCTAGGAAAAAATGTACTATTTGTAGAAAACTATTTACTCAAAGGGCTTAACCCCTTCCACGGAAGCCCTGAAGGTATAATGTTGCAGCAGGTCATCCCCCATTGGAGCTTTTTTTTCTCAGCTCACTGCAACCTCCGCTTCCCAGGCTCAAGTGATTCTCCTGCCTCAGCCTCCTGAGTAGCTGGGATTAGAGGCATCCACCACCACACCTGGCTAATTTTTATATCTTTAGTAGAGGCAAGGGTTTCACCATGTTAGCCAGGCTAGACTCGAACTCCTGACCTCAGGTGATCCGCCCACCTCAGCCTCCGAAAGTGCTGGGATTACAGGTTTGAGCCACCTCACCCAGCTGGAGCATTTTTTGTAATAACAAACCAAGCTGTGTGCAGTGGCTCATGCCTGTAATCCCAGTGCTTTGGGAAGCTGAGGCAGGAGGATCACTTGAGACCAGATGTTTGAGATCAGCCTGGGCAACATAATAAAACCCGATCTCAACAAATATTTAAAAATTAGCTGGGTGCAGTGGTCTGTGTCTGTAGTCTCAGCTACTAGGGAAACAGGGTGAGAAGATCATTTGAGCCCAGAAGTCCCAGGGTGCAGTGAGTCATGAACTCAACATTGCACTCTGGCCTGGGTGACAAAGCAGGACTCCATCTCAAAAAAAAAAAAAAAGAAAGAAAGAAAGAAAAGAAAAGAAAAGAATGGAAGGAAGGAAGGAAGGAAGGAAGGAAGGAAGGAAGGAAGGAAGGAAGGAAAGAAAGAAAGAAAGAAAGAAAGAAAGAAAGAAAGAAAGAAAGAAAGAAAGAAAGAAAGAAAGAAAACATTGTTTGAATAAACTATTTGAATAAACTATGATGCAGCCATATAAAATAATTGAAAGAAAATGTTTGAAAGAATAAGTTTGGTCCATATGCAATGATATGGGACCATTGCAGTGGTCTACTGCAATGTCTACAAAATATAAAATTAAACAGAAATACAGAAAAGACAAGGTGTAGAAGGGTTAATATTGATCCTGTGAGTATTTCTTCAAAGGATAAACATTGACAATGGTGAACTATTTGAATAGTGATATAATCTTTGTTCTCGATATTTCCTGTTTCTCTATGACCTTTCTGCCATTCCAGCAGCAGTCAGAATATTCTACCTGCACTGCCTCAGAGAAACACTGCACAGAGAACAAAGATGTCAATTCCTGGCTTTGGAATTTTTAAACAGGCTATTGATTCTGCTGCCATAATAGCTTTGAGAGGTTTGAAAGCTAATGCTTTTGAGTTATAAGACTCAAAAGCCAGTTATAAGACTGACTTTCAAAATGCACGTCATTTATGCCACAAGCCATCACGTTGGAAGAATGTGTGCTCAGTTGGACCCATTTTTGCTCACTCTCAGACTAAAAGAGCTTCCATGGACCAGGAAAGGGAAGTGAGTTAACTGCAACTGGGTCCCTAAGAAAGGACCCTTTCCAACCAGCACCAGGGAAGGATATGGTAGAAACCCCAGACACACTGGGAGATCCGAGAGGAGAGAAGATATGGCCTCACTACAGGGAGGTGGCAAACATTCCAGAGTTCCTCACGTGCTGCAGGACATGGCAGCAGAAGAGCAGAGACAACCAAGTAGTGTGGCCCTGAGACATCGTACATTTGCCCTGTGCAACACCCACTCAGGAATGGGGAGAATCATTTCTGAGGCACCCAGAAGGGTCCCAGAAATAACTGAGAAGCCAGATCTCAGAGTCCTTGAAACCAGAATAAGAAAATCTGCAACAGCTGGCCACACGGGCCACTGGCTGGATACTGAATGGGGCAAGAGCCCCAAAACGCTGGGTGGCAATTGACACCAAGGAGCTCCTACACCTCATCCACTTTACACCTCGCACCCCATCACCCTCTATCCATCACCCCTCAAAGCTCAATCACGACTCCAGGAAAGGGCGGGGGTAAACCCTGAAATGTCTGTACTTAAGTTCACACCTCCCAATGGCAGCTTGAAAACAGAAGTAATTGTACTCGCTTCAGCAGCACATATACTAAAATTGTAACAATAGGGAGAAGATTAGCATGGCCCCTGTACAGGGGTGACATGCAAATTCGTGAAGCATTCTATATTTTTACAAGAGAAAAACAATCTCATCAAAAAGTGGGTGAAGGATATGAACAGACACTTTTCAAAAGAAGACATTTATGCAGCCAACGAACATATGAAAAAGCTCATCATCACTGATCATTAGAGAAATGCAAATAAAAACCACATTGAGATATCATCTCATACCAGTTAGAATGGCATTCATTAAAAAATCTGGAAACAACATGCTGGATAAGATGTGGAGAAATAGGAATGCTTTTACACTGTTGGTGGGAATATAAATTAGTTCAACCATTGTGGAAGACAATGTGGCAATTCCTTAAGGATCTAGAAATAGAAATACCATTTGGCCTAGCAATCCCATTACTGAGTGTATACCCAAAGGATTATAAATCATTCTATCATAAAGACACATGCATACGTATGTTCATTTTAGCACTGTTTACAATAGCAAAGACTTGGAACCAACCCAAATGCCCATCAATGATAGACTGGATAAAGAAAATGTGGCACATATACACCATGAAATGCTATGAAGCCATAAAAAAGGATGAGTTCATGTCCTTTGTAGGGACATGGATGAAGCTGGAAACCATCATTCTTAGCAAACTGACGCAAGAACAGAAAATCAAACACCACATGTTCTCACTCATAAGTGGGTGTTGAACAATGAGAAAACATGGACACAGGAGGGGAACATCACACACTGGGGCCGTTTGGGGGATGGGGGTACGGGGAGGGATAGAGGGGGTTGGGGGATTGGGGAGAGATAGCATTAGAAGAAATACCTAATGTAGATGACCAGCGAATGGATGCAGCAAACCACAAACCACCATGGCATGGGTATACCTATGTAACAATCCCACACAATCTACACATGTACCCCAGAACTTAAAGTATAATAGATATTCTTAACTTATTGCTAAATTAATAAAAAAATGGATTATTCCTTTAAAAATTAAAAGTATATAAAATTTTAAAAAAATAGAATTAATTTATGTTGTAGGAAAATATACTATTAATAATTCTACTTCCTGCCGCCTGAATGTATGACCTGAAATTTGCCCCTGTTTAGAATCATCTGTAGAAATGTCTGAAACTCTAACAGTGGCCACTCCTAGAGAACGAAACTGAAAAAGAGAGGATGGAGACTTGCATTTTTCATTTTCTTCTCTCTGGATGGTTAGTTTTTTAACTATATGCAATATATCCCTGCTACTTGGGAGGCTGAGGCAGGAGAATCACTTGAACCTGGGAGGTGGAGGTTGCAGTGAGCTGAGATTGTGCCACTGCACTCCAGCCTGGGCAA